TTGAGTTGAGAAGACAATGGAATAGATTTGGATCCTTTCATCTCACCTCATTGGGTCTAGATTGGATTTTGTGTTCCTTCCCTTCTTCTCAAATAATGAATGAAGTTCTAAGTGGAGGTCCTTGATTTGTAGGAGGACATATAATAGGAATGGATAAATGGACACCTCAATTTTCACCAACTTCATTAAAAGGTTTATCCTCACTGATTTGAATTCGGTTATCTCACTTGCCTTTAGATTGTTGGGATGAGGTTAATGTGACAAAGATTGTTTCAAAGATTGGAGTTCCTTTGTTATTGGATGGTAAAATGTTTAAATGGGGAAGACGTGAATTTGCAAGAGCTTGTGTTAGAATCAATCTAGATTCCAAATTAATTAATGGAGTTTGGATTGATGGTTTTTATGGCAAGTTTTTTCAAAAAATAGAGTATGAGAAAATATCTTCCTTGTGCTTCAATTGTGGTCAAAAAGGCCATAAAATTGAATTGTGCCGGGATGCTATGAAAGAAGATCAAAGCAAACTACACAAGGAAAAACTGGAAGTTGGGGATAAAGGTTTGGGATTAAAAGAAATGGATAGTTCTCTTTCTAATGCTTATGGACCTTGGATACATGTAAAATTTAAGAATAAAAGAATGAATAAGGTCCAAAAACAAAATCAGATTCCTGCAGTTCTTCCTTCTCATTCGGGAACTGGTAATAAATTCAATGTGTTGTCTCATGATTTGGAATTTGATACAAGAATGGAAACAGAAAAGTCTAGCAAATCAGTTCCTGAACATGTGAATTCTGTAGATACAAATAATGAAAGTCTCGGTTTGAATGTTTCAGATGTTAATATACTTGAAGACGGAGAGTATGTAAAGAATTCAGGAACAAATGATGATCTAGCTGAAGTAAGTGATGGTATTCATCAAGGTGAGCTCACGGAGAACCGGATTTTACAAGCTATCAATGAAAACAATGCTGGGGATGATCCGGTTTGTATGGCTATTGAAGATCCAGAATCTGAAAAACAAAAATCAGCTGAATTCAAATCCTTGCTTGTTACAGATAATGGTAATGAGAAGGAATGCTTGATTGAGGAAGGGAAATTTCAGTTGCCATCTAAATCAGTTCAGCATAAAAAGAAATCAAGTAAAGAAATAAATTCATTTGGGCCGATCAAAGGCAAGCTTAGAGGGAAGAAATCTGGAATACATGGTGAAAGTGTTGGTGGTACTTCACCATTCATCTCATAAAGAAGTCTGAATGATTATTGAAGGTATGCATCATAAGGAGGAGTTTGGAAACATCTGGATGGATGTTATTAGTCATTCAATTGTTAGTATAGTCTTTTATAAGAAGTTTATTCTTGACAAGACTATAGAATATATAGATGGCTGTCTTGAAGGTCAAAGTTTGGCTTGTTTGAAGACAATTGATGTGGTGATCCAGAAGTCATCAAAGCATGAAGATCCTAGGATTTATTTTATGTTTTTTACTTTTATTAGCTGTTCCGGTAATTGTTATTTTAGTTTTAAATTAAGCATAAGTGGGTATTTGAAAGATGGGGATAAAATGTTGAATTTTAAGAATCTCTCTATTCCATATTTTTTACTTAATTGGGAAAAAGATAGCCCACACCAGAGCTTGTCATTCTCCAATTATGGGTTGATAAATGCACCTGTGCTAATACTTTATGGTGGGGGTATTGGGGGGGAGCATCCTAAACTTATAGGCTCTGGGATACTAATCAACCTTTTTGGTTGTTTAATTCTTGGTATCCCCTCCACCCAATTGGTTTAAAATAAGGAGCAGATGATCTTATTTTCTATATGAAATTCCATATCTTTCAGATATTCTTATTGTCCTTAATTTTCTTTTAATAAAGCTTCCTTTTGCAAGTTTGAAAGGATAGCTATTAGATTCCTTCATTTCTAGTTTGTAATAGCTTTCTTTTTAATTAATGCAATTTGCATTTTCTCAAAAAAAAAAAACTAGCATTAGAAACACTGGGGATAATATGTTTAACTGGAAAATCCATGCGGCAAATGAAGTCATTTTCTTTTAACAAATTCACCAAAAATTTCTGAACAGCAGAATAATAAGTCATTTACCCTCAAAAATCAGACGACAAAGATATTCGGGAAAAATCATCAACCCATTTGGAACTAATAGAGTAATCCATGGTTAGACCAAATGGAATTGAGTATAAATTTTCCAGACAAAGTTACCAAATAATACCCTTAACTTACAATTAAGGCTGAATAAACCTTGATAACTTCAACACCGCCATTGTTGGCCCCAAGGCCGGAGGAGAAAGGTAGATGGCAGATGTCAGGTTGATAACTTTATGGTAACATTCAGGAATGAATTCAAATTTGAATTTTTAGATCTAAAACGGAATATATAGAGTGCAATTTTAGTAGTAATAGACCTAGTGAGGGGATTGTGACTTTGGGCGATCAAGTCATTAATAAGAGTACAAGTTTAGATATCTTGGATCTATTGTTCAGAGTGATGGTGAAATAGATGGGGAAATTATCAGCAGAATTCAAGTTGGATAGTTGAAGTGGAGGAATGCATCGGGCTTGTTATGTGATAAAAATGTACGCCTCAAACTTAAGGGGAAATTATATAAAATGGTAGTGAGGCCTGCAATGTTTTATGGTGCCGAATGTTGGTCATTAAAAAAGAAGCATATTACTAAGTTAAGTGTGGCAGAGATGAGGATGCTCAGATGGATGAGTGACTTTAGCCTTAGAGATAGGATACGAAATGAGCATATACGTGAAAAGGTTGGAGTAGCTCCAGTAGAAGATAAGATTAGAGAGAGTCGCCTTAGATGGTTTGGTCACATAAAAAGGCGGCCTTCCGATTACCCGGTTAGGAGAGTAGAGGTATTAGATTTGACTTGTATTAAGAAAGGTAGGGGTAAACCTAAAAAGATTTGGTTAGAAAATATTATGAATGACCTTTCTTTATTAGATTTAAACCAGAATTTAACTTTTAATAGGTCACAATGGAGAAAAAGAATTCATGTAACCGACCCCATGTAGTGGGATAAAGGCTTGATGTTGTTATTGTTATTGTTAAAGGCATTCCCATAATTTATGTGCTACAACTTAACCCAATTTTTGTGAGAAATATGCATAGGAGGCGTCAAGCCAACAAGAGCTATTTGGGGTTGGCTCGATGAACAATGCCAATATAAAGCCAAGAAGACTCTGTATCGAGAAACCCTTACCGAATTCCGGCGATTTTGTGGGGAAAACTCAACAAGGTTAGAGCCCAGAGGATCCGGAATAGAACGTCAGGGATAATGAGCACAGGAGATTCTCCCATTTCGGCAATAAGGACTGTTTGGATACAGGATTTATGCAGGCTAAGTATTTTTTTATATTTTTCCACAGGTATCTCATGCACACTCTGTGCTCGGCATTTGGAAAAATAAGTTTTATAGCTTCACTAAGACCCTTTTCCATGTCGGGATTTATCTAGGTATAGATCTCACGGTGAAACAAATACTCTGTCTCCTCTTTTTTCCGCAAATCCCAGATTTATGACTTCGGCGGATTTATGGGGTTCGGCCGAAGAAGCGCGCGAAAAGGGAGAAAGATGGCTGGCCGTCGCTACTTCCGATCCAACAGGAAGAACGGCGAACTGTCGTGACTTCCGATCCGACAGAGGCGAAGAAGAACTCTACCCCACGTGAAAAGCATGCGAATTCGAAGGAGAAATGGAGCAGAGAAGAAACAAACCCTAGATCATAAGGAATTAGCGCCTCCTCACAACGGCAGAGAAGAATTTAGTCTTAATTAAAAATTGTTCTAATTACCTATTATTTTTGTTTTAAGAATTAATCTAATTAGCTCTTACTTTTAATTATGAATTAATTTAATTTAAAATATAAATAATAATTATATATAATTAGAGGGATAAATATTGTTTAACTAATTATTTAGTAATAAATAGAATAATTAGCAATTAAAACTTGTTAAAATACATTTAAAATTAATAGTGATAAATAACATTGCATCTAAATTAATAAAAAATATATAATTTGTGTATTGAATATTCATAAAAACATTAGTTTATGAATAGACTACTTAGTTTTAATTAATCTAATACAAATTTATTAATCCAAAAAATATTACGAATGTAGCAGGCTAAAAGTTAATATTTTTATAATTATTTTAATTTTTTAATATTTAATAGTAAAATAATTTTATGCATAGCAGTAATTTTTTATTATTTTCCTCCACATGTCACTAATGATGAAATTTATGAGTTTATATTGGTAGACGCATATTGTGATAAATATAAGTTGAAGTTGAGAAAGTTGCAGCAGTAGATCACGTCGGCCTGCCTACACTAGTTTTTAGGTGAGGGCAATTTAATCAATTTAAACATCTAATAATATATTTATATTCTAATTAAAAATTAATTAATGCAGTATTATTAAATTAATAATATAAACATTCTAATTAAAGATGCTTGATCTTCGTAGCCGTTGACTCTACTCTATTTTCTGTTCTCATTGGTTTTTATCTTTGCTCTTCGTAGAGCCTTAGACCAGTCAACAGATTGCTTTTCCTATCGCCATTTCTTCGTTGCTGCTGCTGCTTTTCATTTTAGCTGTGATTTATTTGCTCGCTTCTTCTGCATCTTTGCATATTATTATTTTTTTTTTTGTGACGAGAAAACAGGCTTTAGGCCAATGTAAATCCTGATCGACCTAACATGCAACTCACATCAATTTACATGGACCAACACTTAAAATTTTACCTGTTTGCCAAGAAATTTGAACCAGGAACCTGGGCTTTACCCAGCCGGCTCTTCACCACCCGAACAAGCAGCAGTGGGTTTGCATATTATCTTTACTTTCCTTTAAATATTCACTGATTTTGAGGACCATTGTAAATATTATGGGCTCCAAAGTTTTCCAATGATCTTTAAATTTGTGAGATGAACATAAATGGCATCAATCTTTAAAATTAAATAAAAAAATCCAATGATTTTAAGCTCAATAAAAAGTATAAATATTTTTGGAGTTGTTGACAAAATAGCGAGGTTGAAACCCATATACACCATATTCATATTTTAACATTCAAATTAAAAAAGAAAAACAAATAAAAGAATCTATATAACAATAGCATTGCAGCTAAATTTGGCAAAGCTAATCTAACTACAACATTCATGGACGAAGAAGATTACGACGAGAGCTGCAGAAATGTTATTTACAGAGATTTGAACCGCAGTTTTTTATTTGAGGAAAAAGAACTTCCATATTTCCCTGTCTGAAAGTTCGGTCAGCATATGAGAACCAAAAAGACCTTCGTCATCCATCAAGCTTCTCAGCTGCTTTGCTCCTCCATTTGAACCAACGAAATTCTTCTTTGCAGCAAGATACAGCACCCCATATGGTGGCCTCAGGCACTGCAGACAAACAAAATCGTCCTTTTTACTCATGCAGATAGATAGATAAACATCCATACAAGACTACTTGCACTTTGTGAGAAAAGAAACATAAGAACTAAAAAAAATACCTTTGTTATTAGTCTATAAAGTTTCTTGAGAGAGCTGGCTGAGTATGTTATTTCAGTCATTAAGATGATATCATATCCTCCATCTCCTTGATCTGCTTCGCTCGCCCTCTCCCACGCACGGCTTCCGGAAAGCTTCCTTGACCTTCTGCTGCTGGGAGGTTCATATCCTATAATGCTCCCATCTTGGCTGCTATAGCCATCCATTAGATCCTCTTCAGAAAAGCTTAGGCTCATACCAGCTGCCATATCAGAAGTATCCACTCCTACGACAGATAGGACGGTATGAAGCTCTGCCCAGTCCCCAGCATAGAAGTGGACATCAGGAGCCAGCTGCTGTCGAGACGGTGTAAGAGGGCTCTCTGGCTGACGAATCTGTCGATCTCGAGCCTGTTCCAGATTTGCAAGAACATTGGGTATGGTTGTGCATCTTAGCGCTTCAGCATTTAAATCCTGGAAATGGACAGTGGCTGCACCCTGAAATAGGATGCCATTGTAAGAAAATAATGTTATATGTAAAGAATAGCACGATTATTTCTGATTGTGAGTTTCCTTAAATTTTGCAGAAAGAAGTAATACCATTACCTTCAGGCAAGCAAAGATTCCAGGAAGACCATATCCACAGCTGAGCTGCCAAGGATTAAGAAGAAGAGATATAGTTTAGGAAAAAAAAAAGCAGGGGCATAATTTCTACATTTATATCCTTTCATATTCCAAAATAATATATAGAAGACTATGAGTTCCATCTAGTCGTTAAAATGAAGCTTTAAAATTATTTTCAAAGATTGGATTCTACAACAAATCATATGTTTTAATCTGTGGATGTTAACTCCTCGATAACTTAATATTATGCATTAAATATATAAACAGAGCATCATTTAATTGCATGTAGGTAAATCCCAATATATTTGCTTGAGTTTAGAATATATTTTATGAAATTGGCTTATAGAGAGTAATCTCTAATGAACATTTTGACCTTTAAACACTTTCATATTAACTCTACATATTCATATTCATCTTATTATGTATCTTATATTCTCCATTGCATACGCCCAACTATTTTATCTTCATGAAGTAACATTAGAACCATCAATATAATCATTTCTTACTCCATCCTTCATAATTTTATCATATATTAAACTTAACATTCTCACTTCTATCAATTTAATTAGTGCTATCTTTGTTGACAAATAAGAATCAATATGCAGCACAACCGGTTTAATTATAATTTTATAAAACTTATCTACTTTTCTCCATGATGCTTTTATATTTTATATGACTTTTTAGATGCACCTCCATTTTAACCATTTGGCTTAAACTTCGGAGGCTATATACTATCAATTTTATAATTTTGGTACAATTTATCAAAGTTACTTATAATTATCACGCCGATGATGAATAAAAGAATGGTACAAAATCGCCTTGTTCCAAAGTCCAAACTAATGCATTTGTTTGGCTTTTTGAAAAAAAAAACCTATTAAATACATTCTACATATTGTTAAATGCATGCTAAAAAAGTTTCATTTGATATTTAAGTTTCTGAATCATTTATCTCCCTACTTTCAACCCTCATCTGGGAAATTAACATGCTTTGAGCATGGCAATCCCATTACAAGTACTTGTGAAGTTTTGTATCCTAAAACATTTCATGCTATAGATCAATATTTTGAGTACATACAGAGGAACTGAGCTGAGCCAATAAGTATTGGTTAAGGTTAGAGCAACCAAGGTAATGTAAAGTGGTTACAAGCCCATAAATAAAGATTTCAGTGTTGACAATGAAGCTTGTCTACTTCAAAGCCTTGAAATGCCTGACTGAACAATGCAGAAAACATAACTGAAAGAACAGGTTGAATTGACAATGGTTCAAAGTTTAGTTTCCAGAAATAAAATAAGTAAACAATAGTAAGCTAGAATTCTTTAGATAGGTTAGCAATCTCAATCAACAACTAATGGGCAAAATAAGAAAGCATGACTAAATGAGTATTTTTTTCAGTATACTTCACAGATAACTAAGTGACGTTTCCAAGCCAGAGGAACAGATCTAAGAAAAAGAAGATTGACTATGGATGTTCTAAATTAGGATTGCATCAACGATTAGTTAAGCAGGAAACGGTAAGCCTAGCAAAATATAGGTTTATAGTAACTTTCCTCGTTGGAATTTAAAGGTTGGTTTAAAATTAAGCCACTTCTACAGAATCAATGTCATGGTTGATGAAACGGTCAGCTAATAAAAAATATGCTTGGTTTTTATGTTAAAAAAGTAATCACTATATAAGTTAACTAGAATAATTTTGTAGCAACTACTGTTGAAAGTAGGGCAAGTCTATAACATTCCAATTAGTTGGTTAACTATTACTTGAGTTATAAGTTTTTCTATTGTAACGATGAATTGCATGAGATGATTTATATTTCTCGGAAATCAAGATTAACTACTGAAAATAAGGAAATAAAAAAGCAAATCGATGGAGCAAAGAATTGATTCCTTTTTTAAGAGTAAGGCCATATGAAATTAAATTACCTCCAAAACACGTTTTCCTCTAAAACTCAACTGACCATCACGAATTTCATGCTTGAGAATGTTTACAAGGTCAATTGAACTTTCCCAAGATTTTAAACATCCTGAAATAACATACAGAACCCAATCAGATCGGATCATTGGTCAACTGCCATTTCAAACCTAAAACAGCAATCTTGAACTCATAAGAACTCACCATCATGTTTTGAAGATACTGTCTCTAAACTAGAAAAACCAATGATATCAGCCACGCTAACTCGTCCCTGAAACACGTGCAAAGGTTATTATTATCCTCCATATCCAGTCAAGAGAATTTACCAAGAATACTAGAACTATAAATCACTTGTGCAGTATTATTTATCAACACAACGGAGAAAAGAATTCACAGCGCTGTTATTTAGCTCTAGGCTCTAGCATAGGATCATCAATGAAACAACTCAAAAACACTAAATTCCCTTCCTAGTACAGATCATATTTAGTGCTATAATCTGCTTTAAAAAAAACAAAATTCATTGCCACAAAGCATACCTTAAAAATGTTGATTCCCTGTAAATCAACATTCTCTCCAGCATACTTGTAGGGATGAGCACTCTGCAAGATGTAAATGAATAACCTCAATTTAGTCCTTTTCATAAAAAAATGAATAATTGTTCAACATTAAACTCAAAACATATATAAGAAATGAAAATGAAAAGGCATATGCAAGATAACATGCAGGATTTATCACCAGAAACAAAATTTATAGTAACATATTCTACCATACGATAACTGAAGCAAAATATGAACCAAACTGTCAAATGAGAATCTAATTCTTAGTTTGCCTCTATTTCAGCTAATTATAATTAAAAATTTAAGGAAACTAAATGACCCCAACCTAATTGAATAACAGCTGAAACCTAATAGCCAACCCAACAAAACTACTGAGCATCAAAGATGTTAAGTGCATACCTTTGAAGGAACAATCTCGACCGCAGGTGAAGGAAAATGAGAATCCCGTTCAGAAACTATGGACACTCCATGGCTGGTCTTATCATGGGTTATCAAGCCCGCCAAGCATTGAGAAAATAGTGAAGGAGCCCGCATTCTTGTCCTTATATCCTTCATTTATTAGAATCTGAAACAAACATCACAAGCACCAAGATATAAAGAACAATCCATTCTATCAATTCTTAAGTGAAATCCTCACACACCAAGAAGAAAAACCCTAGAATACTTGTCAAGAAATAACGGCACATGACAAATCAAGAACAAGAACAAGAAAAGTCAGAGAATAAGATCGCGGACATCCATTCAAAAAAGATAAAATCCAAACTTTCCTTAATAAAACACATCTGAAATGTAACCAAACCTTACCTAGATCAATAGATGCAATCTTAAGAGAAAAAGGAGTCGCCGTCGTGGAAAGAACTGGAAAAATGAATTATAAAGCCAAAGAGGAAGGGATTGCTTCAGAAAAGAAACCCTAACTCCTTCCAAAGTCCGCCATGACCGAATGGCCACCGACTTAGGTCAAAAGGGGGATTAGGAGAGCAGCCAACGACTCAAGCGTGGAAGAAGCTTCCCTGCTGTAACTAGAAAGAAAGAATGCTCACCCTAATGCAGTAAGTTACCCAAATTACCCCTGTGATTTAGAATTATATACATAATAATACTAATATCAATTTTTTTTAAAAAATAGAAATATGTGATAAAATTTAATTATGATTTAAATATTTTAAAACAAACTTCTAGATATATCACAAAATTATTATGTATTTAAATATGTAAGTTCTAAATATTTATATTTATTTATATAATACCCATAATTTTAAATTATAATTTATTTATATTTTTTAGCATTTATTTATGTATTTAAATATGTAAGTTCTAAATATTTATATTTATTTATATTTAAGTTCTAAATAAACATAAATAAATGCTAAAAAATATTATTATTATTCATTTATTTAAAATAAACACTGATTTTCATGCATATGTTTAGATTTAAATATTAAATGTGATATATATGTAAAATATATAATTTTTTTTCTGATATATGTGTATAAATCCAACAACAACAACATCGTCAAGCTTTATCCCACTGCATAGGATCTGCTACATAATCTTTTTTTTTTTTTTAAATTTTCATTGCATTCTATTATGAGTCAAATTTTAATTTTAATCTTATTAAAAAATTGTCATTTCTAATACTTCATAACTAAGACTTTTAAGGTATACTTCTACATTTCTTAACATAAATCAGATCTAATAAATCTACTCTTCTAAGTGAGTCATTGGAAATCCAACATTTTATGAGACCAAAACATCCAAGGCGACCCTTTCTAATGTTGTATGCCACTAAAGCTACTTTAATCTCAATACCGTCGTTGTCATGTCCTAAGCCTCGTATAATAAAAATATATGGTTGCATTAAGTAGTCGACAATCAATATAAAACTCGTTGAATAATCATGATGCGTGTGTAAACCCCTCATTATATATATATAAACATTTATTTATTTATTTGTTATGTGTCAGAACATTCGCAGCGATAGAGAAATATAGAGTTTAATTCTTAGCTTTGTATAAAAATCTAGCACACAGATAAAAGATGAGAGTAAGAGCAATAAGAGATTTTATAATTTTTACGTGAAAAATCCTAAAGAATGGAAAAACTATGGGACCTCACATAACTGAAATGATTCCACTAGAAAAATGACGTCATTCCTCGGAGAAAGGCGTTGTGGCTAAATGTAACAAATATGCATTAAATATAGTACATTACATAGTTTTTTAAAAAAAGTACATTACATAGTTGGAGTTGGAAGAATCCAATGACATGAGAGTTATTCTAAAGAGAACGTTGATCTATTCATTTGTTCGATAAGATAATGGTCTGAGAGATTGTAGTCTGGCGGCGGAGGTTGGAGACCATAGTTGGGTGATTGGAGGAATCATAGTCGATTGGGCAACGAAGCTTGGAAGAACTATAGTTAGGTGATTAAGGACGAAGGATCGTAATCCGGCGATTGAGATCTAAGGGATCGTAATTAGTAGGAAATGGAGGTAAAAAAAAAAAGGTAACGGAGGTCAGGTGGAGTCTTGATTGTGATGGTCATATAGAGGTCCAAAAGCTCTCTTGAGTCTCTAGCATAAGGTCCAAGCCTCCAAGAGTCTCCTTTATGTAGAGAGTAAATTGTCTATTTATGAATTTTGAGAGTGACATACTTGGTAATATATGTAAAAAATCCAAGGCATATTCAGAGTGCTTCATTGGATGAACCATACTAATTATCTCAATCATAGATCGTTTATTCAGTATTTAAGTGCTCTAATGATGTTAGATTTAACTGGTCTTCAGTTCGTTGGATTTGTCTCATCGAGCCGCTCAATTCAACTATAAACATGTTATATTTGAAGATCATTTGATTATCTATAATAATATAAAGCTTTCAATTATACTTCGGGCCCTTTATTTGGACTCATTTGAGCTCATATTTATCCAATTTTGATTTCGTTGGATTTGACTCATTGAGACATGCAATTTGACTATAAGTATGTCAAAAACTTGAAATTGATGCTCGGATGGTCCCGAATTAATTTTGAATAATTAAAAAATTAAAATAATTTTAATAATTTAAATTTATTATAATAAAATATTCTTGTGAATTAGAATGGCCCCCACACGCATAAAGCCTGAAGGGGTGGGTAAGAAGGAGAATATTCCCCGTGTTTGATGGCTAATTTGTCTATAATAAAATAATCTCTGCTAACCTAAACAGCCAAACCTAAAAGTCTTAGGCTTTTAATGGCTAAACAACAATTTATTAAACCACTAGATATTCAAAGGTTAAAATAATTTTTGTTTAATGGCTAATTTGTCTATAATAAAAATAATCTCTGCTAACCTAAACAGCCAAACCTAAAAGTCTTAGGCTTTTAATGGCTAAACAACAATTTATTAAACCACTAGATATTCAAAGGTTAAAATAATTTTAAAATTTCATATTGCATTATTACATCAATTTTAAACTCTATAAATAACGGTGTAATCGTGTTCGACCAGCTTGTGGGTCGACTCAGTATGATCATGAGCCGAACTTGATGAGCTAACGAGTCAATTTAGAGTGAGCCCCGAGCTCACTTAGTAAATGTTAATACATAATACACTTAGAATATATTAAAATTTAAGAATTTAATTATAAAGTTTTTTAAAATATACAAATGGTTATAACTACTATTTAGCCTTTGTTTGAGGCAGTTTTTAGTTACTTTTATAAACAATAATAAAAAAAAACAGTCTCAAACAAAATCTTAATAGTATTCTGATTGATAAGTATTAGAATGGATTTCAAAATCTTTAGTTCTGCTTTGAGATCAGCGTTATATCGATTATGTAGATATGTTTTGAGAATAGTGTTATGTCAATTATTTATATATTTTAGTTATTCTAATAGGACTTTTTTCCGGTATTTTGGAACAAAGTCAAGAATGTAGATTGCTTTGAAAATGATTTGATGTCACTGTTGGGAGAATTACAAACTTTCAAAGTTGAATATCATAAGGGTGCTTTCATTCCAAAATTATGCCATATTAAAAAAGAAAACAAAGAAAAAGAAAAATTAGTAAACAAACGAGGAAGCTCTTAGGAAAATTGGGATATATATATTCAATTTTAGTATAATTAAAAGTCGCACGATTTTAAGTTAATTTCATATACACATCTTGTGTGAAGTGATGTTGGTCACACACACTTGTTGATTCCCATCATCGACCACTACCAATCAATGTCATCGATAACTATCATCCGTCACTACCCACCGCCTATTGTAGCTACAACTAGTTGGCAACGACAACCATCGCTGACACTGTCTACAGTGCTGCCATCCATTGTTTGTCATCATTGTCGATCACTGACCCATATTGGTTGACAAAGGCTACCATTTGTACACCGTTGAAGGTACCTGTTCACAGGTGTCTTGCAGGTCATATTCGGGTCAAGCGACAGGATGGTTTACTCCTCTCTCAAATAAATGCATTCGAGGGATTCGCTCAGGAGCTGGAAAGGAGCTTAACATTGGAGTACAACGGACCAATTCTGGCCACGCATAGGCGATGGAAACCTTAGAAGTTTCTTTCTCGCCAAAGGCTACCATTTGTACACCTGTGAAGGAATATATTCACAGGTGTCTTATAGGTCATATTCGGGTCAAGCGACATGATGATTTACTCCTCTCTCAAATAACTGCATTCGAGGGATTCGCTAAGGAGCTGGAAAGGAGCTTAAAATTGGAGTACAACGGACCAATTCCGGCCACCTCTTCCTTGAAGTCACCCATAGGCAATGGAAACCTCAGAAATTCCTTTCTCATACAGACAAATCTTTATTCATCTCAACTAGAGCCAAGACTCCCACGCAGGATACATCAAACAACGGGTGATACCGTGATATGCATTGCCATTGCAGACATCTCTTGCAACTGGATGGATCTAAAGCCCTCGCTAAGACATCATTAACCTTCTCACCTCACAACAGGGCGACCAAAGAACAACGTAATACTCCACATCATATAGTCCTCCCTATTATACTTCGAGAAAGTCACCCTCCTCTAATCTCAATAAAGGCTCTTGGACCAGCTCTTGGCCAATAACACCAAGTCTCTATAAGCCTAGCCGACTGGCTCCTCTCAGTCTTCATTCCACTAGACACCAACAATTGACCTACAATATAAACTATAAAGTGACAAGATAGCTATCATGTTAAAGATGTGCCTCATGCAACTTTCCACACTATAAAAGGTGGAGGACGAAGCAAGAAGGTATATAGAGAGATTTTATGATCCTTATAAGAGAGAGACCACTAGAGGGAAAAATGAAAGATGTTATTTCTTTCTCTGTAATGTAAAGTTCTAGCTTAATTTCCACCTGCTTTTTATTTTTTTAGCTTTTCACCTGCTTGTATCTCTGGTCTGGATAATAAAGATTTCATCCATATTCACACAATCTTTTGTCTTCTCTCTCTTTCTTCACATTCATACTTGGCTACATTATTCTCGTGTGATTTTCACCTATAGGTGGTGCATAGTACAGCCCGACATCATCCACCGGACAAATGAGATTCAACACCATCATTACAAGCCATCGCCACCATCGCTGTCGCCGTCGTTGGAACCCACCACCATTGTCATTGCCACTTTCAATTTGCTACATTATTATTTTACTTGGCATATCCTTATTTTCAACCAAATAAAAAATAGTTTTTTTTATTTGTATTGTATTGTATATGTTATCCATAAGCATTGACATCATTCCACTCAATTAATGCTGTATTATTTAAGAAAATTTGTGGCGTGTTAGGTATGAACTTTGGCTTAGATTTCCGGGCTGAGCTCATATGCTTTGACCACCCCTTACTTGAGTCCGAAGGCTTTTGGGGTTGCTGTATCTTTTGAAGATCTTAAAGGCTAGAAAATCATCTTCTTTATTGTTCCTCAAAGGGAAAAAAATTCCTTCTAGAAACCTTTTTATGCCATATATATATATATATATATATTACTTTCTAAAGTAGCTTTATAGTACAAAAAAAATTTAGTTCAATAAATTTTTGTACTTAAAAGCTGCTTTAGAAAATATTAAGGAAGTCGTTCCAAACGAAGCCTTAGTCTTTCTTTACATGATTTTAAAATTTTAAATGAGATATAGTCGATTTTTGGATGCAATGACAAACAAATATGCTAGTAGGAGATCACTTAACCAAATGATTTAACTGTTATTTTTTATAATTCTCTAAAAAATAAATTATATTAGTCATCATTAGCAAATATTATTTTATTAGTTAGCAAAAAATACAAATTTTAAATATACATAGATATTTTTTTAGAGGGATGGACCTAAGAAGAGCTCAGGGTTGACATGATCATATGAATTTTTATTGGTTATTTTTATATTTTGAAGGAATTGGTTATTTCTATATTTTGAAGGAAATATTCTAATTTGAATAATTCAGATAAATTTAAAATTTTGATAAATAGTTGTTAAATCGTATTAATACAATGTATGACATGCATACTTATTATAATTCGGCTATTATGATTATATGCATGTGAAAAATAGTACACTAAATTTTCTTATGAATTATAATATTTCTGATTCATATGTAAATTTTACATGCACTAGAATTGACACAATAATCTTAATATTGAGTATAATATTCTTTGTTTATTATGTTATATATGCTGTTAAGTATGTGTATGCAAGAAAAATTGTCTACTATATGATATAGGATGACCAAGATATGATACTCTGCGCATGAGGGTAAGTCGACGGGCTTTCTTTTAAATATGGGTATATAATTTTGATCGAGTGTGAATGGGTTGAGGGTAATGACTTCCGTAGACTATGCCACTTGCTTGTTCTTACTTATATGACATGATATGATATTGCATCTGACTTATTATGATAAATACAATTGTTTTATTTTGAATAATTGAGTATTACTTGAGTGAATATGAAAACTTGGATGTGAAATACATAAATATGATAGTTTTACCTATTATGTATGTATATAAATCCCTCTAAAAACTAATTAATATAAACTACTCCATGCAACAAATAAGTCCTCTCTAATCTTGGAACTTTTATTACGTCCGGTGTAAGGACGTAGAGGAATGTCCGGTTGGAAGCAAAATCCTGCCAAAAAACTCGGTATTTGCTTGGTACAACTAGGTATTATTTGATATTAACGAGGAATACCGCTCTTTGAAGACCAATACCGAGTTATACCGAGCTGTACCGAGAAATACCGAGTTGTAACGAGTTTCTCTAGGAAAAACTCGGTACAACTTTTGTATAACTCGGTATTTCTTAGTTTAGCTTGGTATAACTCGATATTTGGTCTTCAAATGATGGTATTCCTCGTTATTGTTTGGTATTGCTCGGTATTTGCTCGGTATAACTCGTTTTTTGGCGGGATTTGGCCTCCGACCGGACGTTCCTCTGCGTCCGGTCGGAGGACGTAATAATTGTTCATAATCTTGATAGAGCCATAATAGTCAACATAAGACTTCGTTTGGGACAATTTTTTTGCTGCTTTCAAAAATAACTTTCTAATAAAAAATTTATATTTAAAAAGTTACTTTAGAACATAACAAAAAAGCTGTCCCAAATGAACCCTAAGAGGCTCTTTACTTGCATTAAAATCTATTACATTTAACCATCAGAAGACTATATTCCCTAAATATATCTTGAGATATGTACTTTCGCTATTTGAACCATTGATAATAAATTATGTCATCACAACCACATCTACCAATTGCCAGTACTATTAGCAATTTTGAAAATTCGGTGAACCAAATAGATTTAGTGTTTAGAGTTTGATTTTTCCACTTTATCAGAATTTGTTTGTAGAGTGTATTGGGCTTTGATACGTGAGAATTAAGCAGGAAAAGTCATAGCCTATGGAGTTTAAACTATACTAAGAACTTTCAATTCTTTCTTTTTACCATCTACATAACACAAAAAAAACTGTAGCTGTAGAGGCAAGAGCAGAGAGTATGCAGAGAAAGAACAATGCTTTTCAGTCTGAAACAATCTGAATCCTCTCACAATATCAACATTGCAAAACTTAGGGAATGATAAGAACATTTGATTTATGAAGAGGATTAGATCTGTTTGAGACTAAGGTTTCGTTTGGGATGATTTTTTTACTATTTCTTGAGTAGCTTTGTAGTATAAAACTTAAATTTTTTGTACTAGAAAATTGCTTCAAGAAGCAGTAAAAAAGCCATTCCAAACAAAATCTAAGGCTTCTTTTAAATGACTTTTTATTGTTTCATAAAACAGTTTTCTAGTAAAAAAATTTTTTTTTTACTAAAAAACTGATTTAAAAAACAGTAAAAATGAAGCCTAAGAAACATAATTCTATGAGGGAAAAAAACCATGCCTGAGATGTAAGTAAGAGGCTAAGCGAGATATCTGTACAGCTTGCGATCTGCTGGGTCTCTTTCCAAGAACTCCCGGTCAATGAGAGATTCAATACGTTTCTTAATGACAACAGGGTTCGGCAAGAACCGAGACTGCAACTGTTTTGTCACCTCTGCAACTACATTGTTGTGATCTAGAACTCGCGTGGATTTCATAATCCTCACAATGGATGATTCAATCTGAGGCTTCCTGTCCTCCTCCACTCTTTGCCGTGTCTCCTGCTTCTCTGACTCTGATTCTTTCCTGGCCGCCACAGTACCAATCCTCACTTTGAAGAACTTGCTGGAGAACTTGTCGTTTACCATGAAGGCGTCTTCCTCGGCAATATCTTTGCTCATGGGATTCTTGTTGAGTACATTCTTACCTCTGACACAAGCTAAAGACTGAAGACAGCGTTTCAGATCGGATGTTGGGATCTCAGTGGCCTGCTCAATTTCTTTGCAAGTTAATTGATCTGAAGCATTGAATAGCATCAAAATGCACATCTGATAGGTGGAGACATTAAGCTCGTGCTTCTGATTCTTTTCGAAGTTTGCTTTCAGGTCAGCGGTGCCAAAGTTCGTTTGCCAGGTTAGCCTCCTGCCTGTGCGAGTGCCCAAGTAATAATTTCGGAAGCTGTCGCACATGCCAAGTATCTCAAATGGAAGCTTGCATGGCGCAATAGGCTGGATAGGCCAACACCCAGCTGTGAGAACTTGGACAGAGAGGTTATTTGTAGCATCAGATGACACTTGGCTAGCATAAAAACCCTGCATTGTGTCTTCGGAGGTCTTCATATCAGTAATCATGGCTTCCAATTTGGAAGTAAATTGATAACCACACTCAGTCTTGAACTTAACTATCAGACTTCTTTCAGCATCATCAGAGACAGTTTTACTTTTACCAGAAAGCAGGCGCTTTGCGAAATGCTGCCTGTAGTATTTTTCAAAGACATCATTTTCTTGAAGAAATCTGAATTGCATCATTACTTGGTCAAGTGTAATCTCCATATCCTCTTCACTGGCACCTATAAGACCTTTCCGGAGCTTATCATCAACATATAGGGAAATGAATTCTGCAGATCTGTTGTTCAGATTTATGAAATACTCGAAAGAGGAATTCAAAGCATTTCGCAAAGTCTTATCATTGTTAAACACGGAGCTGATGATCTTGTCATGTTTGTCTTTGACATTGAGAAGACACTGGACAAAGTTGACGGGGTCCCTCAGCTTCTCTGGATCAGTTACTATCTGCTTTCCAATTTGCTGGAGGTGTGCGTTCAGCACATCACTAATGGTTGAGATGCCTTCAGGAACTAGTCTGAACAAGCCGTACATTCTGCTCATATCGTCGTACCTGTCACCCATAATCATATTCAGAAGACCAGAGCTCTCCATGTGAACCAGCCTCTGCATAGAACTTGCAATCATCTCATTCCCAACCACATACATTATTTTTGGTTCTGTCTTCTCATCCAGATAATGAGAAACCCTCTCTATTTCTTCATGGAGCCGTTTCTCAACTTTCTTAAGATATTCCCCACAATGACAGCATTCAATGAGCTGCTGGGATTCACAACTGTAGAAGCTAGCCGAAGCCTCTAAGAAAGGCTTCTCAAAATCCTCTTGATACACGGAAGAACCAAGATCTATTAACATCTTCGTCATATTCCTCATCAAATTGCGGTTTATAACTTGGCCAGTCCGCTCTTTTTGAATGAGATCGAGAAGGATGGTGACCAACCTTTTATGAATCTTATAAGAATGGAGAACGATGTCGTTCCACAAAATCAAACCAACATCATGAACTGATGTCTTTCGAGCATTGGGGATGAAGGTTCTATCCATGTACATGAATATGTCTCGGATGATCTGTAATGACTTGTTATGGTTATCCCATTTTCTGTTCAGCTCTACGAGAAAGAGATCATTTTGAGCCACCTTAAAAGATCTTAACATTTCCTTTACATTCCATATCAGGGTTGCCACAAGCCCATTGTACAGTTTTTCACCATATTTTTGCAGCACCATGTTGTAAACACTCCTAAATTTAAAAGAACTTCAAATTTGTACTCTAGATGTCTCCATATATATATATATATATATATATATAATGGAGTGATGTGACAGGAACGCCCATAGCTAGAGAGTTCAGAATGCGGCGTATTATTCTGTGCGGATACTGGACGGAGAGAACCGTCTGGTTTTCTCTCTGTCTAAAGTAAAAGTACAATCAAAGTGTAATTACTGTAGCATATGTGTTTTGACTGCGCTTTTACAGTAGACAGAGGGAAAACCGGACGGTTCTCTCCATCTGATGCCCACACAAAATAAAAAATCTAAGAATGCATACTAGAAAATAAGTTCGAAAAAATATGGATGCAAGAGTGCCAAGTTTTAGAGCTATGTCTTGAGGATGAAGAGAATAACTAAATGAGTTCAAAGATTGAAAATTGCTAAAAAGTTGGATCAATTTTAGCTTGGGACCCATCGGTTCTAAGTCGGGCTTTGATGGGACAGTTTTCTTATTTTTTTTCTAAAGCTGTTTTTTAGTAAAAAAAATCTAGAATTAAAAAATTGTGCACTAGAAAGCTAACTGAAACGAAGCATAAAGAACCTAACTTGGATTGTACTTGAATTGAGCCGAGACTAATTCAAATCGAGTCAACTCAAGATCTTATCGAAATGTATATGCATGTATAAATGAATGCCTATATTTACATTTGAATTTATGAATATATGCATATATGCATTGTTATTTATAAATCTACAAATTTATGAGCATGGATATATGTTGGATTAAGGATTTGTCTTGAACATAAAAAACTGATCAAGATTTTTGCTAAAATTCAAGACAAGCATAAATCAAAAGTTAACATGCCATGTTTAGGTTCAATCAGATCAAGTCAACCTATAACCAAATTTGTCTCAATTCAAGATCATATCGAGTGACTATGAGCTGATCTTTAGCTGAGATTGGATCGACTCGAGATCAGATGGATAGTTAATAGACTTCTCCATATTTACACTTGTAGTGCACCATTTCCTTCTTTATCTGCTCAAACTCAATACGTTCATCCTTCACAATGATATTGGAGTCATTTTATTCAGTGTTATTTAGAAATGTAATGTTAGTGAGATGCCAATTTTGATCATAACAATGATTAGCTTAACTATTATCAAATCAATCTATATAATCCAACATTAATCTGATTGATAAGAATAATTTAAAATCATAAAATCTAAAGTTTCTAAACAAGTTAATTCATTATTTGATTAATTACTGAGTAATTAAACTAATTTACACTCCCAATCAACTATAATTAGTCATTAATCTTAAAGAGTGTAATTAAACTAATACTACTACAACAATAACATCAAGCCTTTATCCCACTACGTGGGGTCGGCTACATGAATCCTTTTTTGTTATTCTAATTAAACCATTGCTAATTATAATAATTTATTATCCTAAAAGTAACAAGTATATTTTGAGCTTAATTAACCCTTGATTCAACCATTTGGTTAGGATTCCTAAATATCTTAATCTATAAAGAATCCCTGATTAATAAGAACCGTAGATTTTAATTAAGTAATCAATGTATGCTAAGTAGACTAATCTGCAATCATTAGTAATAAATTCCTGAGGACAAACTAATACTCAATTAGCATGATTACTTTAGTTATTACGATAAATTCAACTTAATTAATTAACCTAGTCGAACTATAAATCAACAAGATATGATTAATTGCACATATATGAGTTATCTGAGATCTAACTAATTGTACTATTGTTTATTATTCTCATCATTACTTTATGGCAACTTTATAATAATAGTTCTTGGTACATCACCAAAAATCGCCATGATCAGGCACGAGAATCTTGAGGCAAATCTCAATTGGAAAGTTTCAAAATTAAATTCGGGATCATCCGAAGTCCAATCTCAGCAAATTTATACTCAAATTGAATGTCTCGACAAGACAACCCCGACATCAAAATCGGTCAAATTAAAGTCAAAGTGGGCTCTAATCAAGAGCTTAAGACATATTTGAAAGCTTTAAAATATTAGTTGGATGAATAAATGATATTTAAATATAACATACTACCAATAGTCAAATCGAGCAGCTCCACGATATGAATCTATAATGAATGGTATGTGATAAGAGCAACTCCAACCGAAAAACTCATTTTCCACTTAAATGCAATAAAACTTCAAAATACCGTAATTCATCTCCAATTGAGTTGCATTTTTTTTATTTCCCCTGCATCTTGCGGAGGTAATCATCTCTTTCCTCTTTCACTCGTTTTTCTCATATTTCGCGCTCTTATTCAGCAAATTTCTCAACTCAATTTTTTGGTGTAGATAGCACTGTTTACCTATCGAATTTGGAGTTCAAATGCAATGAATGGTGGACGACATAGAGTGGTATGCAGCTCGGTTGGTTGGAGATGGTTAAGGAATCAATATAACGGTAGTGGTAGGCATACCTGTAAAGCTCCTCGAAGCTAAGGCCGCTGGCGTTGCAGTTGTAAATCTCGTAAATAGCACGCTCAAGAACTTTACATGTCTTCTCCCCGTGCTTGAGATCGATCTCCACACGTTGCTTCAAGGCCGCAATCCTGAAATTTTTCTTATATGGAGAGCTCATTCTCCTGTTTTGGGTCGATTGGCCGCTAACAACTATTACGGTGAAGGAAATGTGAGAAGCATATTATAATATAGCCTATTTCGGCCTCCAGTGAACAAATCAAATTCAAATCCAAGCGACAAAGAGCGGGAATACTTTCCAAAAGGCTCAGAGGTAATGGAAATGTTGGTCGGATCTTGCCGGAAAGAATGGCTTCCGAGTTCCGACTCGAAAATGGAGTTCATTGAAGAGATTCCGAACTAACATTTACAAAAGAAAAGAGAAAAACGATTACAAACTTATTACTAGTTACCAAAATGCAATTCTGCTCTCTTTCCCGTCCTCTACAGTCTTAAGTCCCCGAGCTCTCACCGCCGGCGATCCTCTTCTTCGGTTCCCGCCGGCGACCTGCGTCGCTTCAGCTTCGTTGTAATCACTTCCGTCTTTCGCGCTCTTTTTTACTAAAACAATAATATTGGCTTAATTTAAGCATATTATGATTTATAATTCATTGGCATTTTTATTGTTGTTATTATATAAATAGTAAACGGTTTTATGAGAAAAAATATAAATATTTATATTACAAAATTTAATGAATTCAATGGAGTAGAAATAAATTCAATTCATTAAAAATAATTATTATAATAGGCATAATTAATTAATGTATGAATTATATTTAATTGCTAAATAAATTAAATAGAAAATTTTGGGCTTGAATAAATTTATTAAAAATATGGGAGATGAGCTACATAAAATAAGAAAATTTAAGCAAATGATCAAACTAATAAGTAATTTACACATAATTATTGAATTACCAATAAATCAAATAAATAGAAAGTTGAACAGATAATTACAAAATATTTTATATATTGAATGGTAGATCAATAGGAGATGATAGTCGGGCGACAATTATCGAGCAATATTGATCAGGACAGCCTAGTCAAGCTATGATAATGATGATTGTGCAATTATGATATGGTAATAAAAATCAAGAGACGTTGATCAAGAAGTTTGGCGACAATATTTGGATGATGGCAGTCATGCAACGAATGATAGATGACAACAAATGGGCGATGACAATCGAGCAAAAGTGATCTAAGTCGGGGGGACAACGATTGTTAGCGATAAGCATTGGTGTTGAACATTGGGTGGAGCTATGATATTTTTCATATCTCCAAGCTCTTTGTAATTTTTGCTCCATGTGTAAGCTCCCTTTCAAATAGAGAATGAGTTATATTTATAATTTTTTTAGATAGCATTTTAGTAATTTTAGTCAAAATCTCAAAACAATCCATAAGATGACCCGTATTAATTCATTTGATCAGTGGCTAGAGCCATAAATTTTATTCAGGGGAACCTAAATTAAAATAGTTATGTTTATCATCTCGTATGAAAGGTTAGAATACATTAAAATAGTTCTATTTGCCGTCCATTATCAGAGTCAAGAGGAGCTAAAAAGTCATAGATGGTCGTTAAAGCTTGTAATCTCTTTTAATTGATGATGTTTATGATCATCAAACCTTGATGTCTTTAGGTCAAACTCGAGCCATTTGGCAAAAAGGGGCCCATGTTGACACAACTTAGAGAAATATTATGCAAGTTTAGCAAAATTCTAAATTATTGCTAGTATGTTTTTCTTATAATGTGATCATTTTGAATTACAAATGCATGAATAATTCATTAAAATGTTCATTTGTCAAATTTTTTGAATATTTTTCATAAAAAATACCAAATATATATTATATGAATCATGTTATGCTCACTTTTATTATGGATAATAACATCCTAGAGCGATTAAAATCTAAGAATACTTTTAATCAACCTAATGAAGTAGGATTGACTATCATGTAACCTAAGATTAGCTAAATTATACTATAGTCAAGGTCCACTAAGAGAACAATAAGTCAATTATTTTAGCTTAGGTTAAACCCAAGATCCACTTGGGGTTAAGACAATTAGGCAATGATTGATCATTAAAAATCTAAAATGGCTGATACCGAGCTATACTATGATAATGGGCTTAGTGAGTAGGCCAATGGATCAAATTAGTAAAAGCCTTAATCTGATGGAGTTAACCACACCTTGTTCGAGGTGGGGGTGGCTTAAGCCATCAAAACACTTAGGAGTGACTAAACACCTAAGGCTTCATTTGTGATGATTTTCTTACTGTTTCTTAAAGCAGCTTTTTAGTACAAAATTTTAATTTTTTACTGAAAAAAATAACTAAGAAAAATATATCAAACATAGCCTAAGAACAACATGAAAAACTTTGAAACAATTTAAGTAACTTTAATAATTTGTAAAGCAAAAATACCCAAAACTTGAATAGATAACATTCCATCTCCTCCTCTTTAGTCAATAGATAAACATGGCAATCAAAATCTGTGTTGAACATCTCAAAATAATAAATCTAAACATGGCTTTCCTCTATAGAACTCCTACCAGCAGTTATCATTCCCAAGGCATTAAACCATAGAACTGAAGGCACTGGTTTTTAGCAGTTTTGTTTGCAGAGGCTGTAAATGATTTTTGCTCAATGATCTGATGAATGGAAAGCTGTTTATTCAAACAGCAATAAACGCTCTAATAATAACATCATTGGGCTCTCATCGCTTGACCCACTGGAAGCTCTTTCGTGCTTTTGCCTTACCAGGCTTTTTCCTTTCGACAGCACGAGGATCTCTTGTTAAGAAGCCAGCTGACATCAATCATACAATTATGTGAGCTTTAGAGGAGAAAAAAAATCAAGTTCAGGTCAATAATGGCCAAGTAGAGATGAATTGCAATTAGCAAGCGAAGATAAGGATGAAATTTAGGACACTCAAAACCTTTATGAATCTGCAGTTGTTGATTTGTAACAATTTCATTTCCATTCCATGAAGGATCATTTGGGCTTGCTTTTGGTTTATTGAAGTTAGAAAAAAAGAAGTTTATTCAATTCTTCATGAAATTGGATGTAGTTAAATATCAACATTGATTTCAAACTCCACAAGTCTTCTAACATTCAAAAATGATGATTTCATCTTTAAAAAAATCAAAAAATAAGCAAACCCTCAGTCTAAACACTTGATAGGAGATTGAAGTCACAAGGAATCAGTAATAATGCTAGTGGGCAAAAGATGGAAAGCACTGTAAGGTTCTTATGAAACATTTACCTGCTTTAAGGTATGGCCTAAGCCCTGGTTCCCAGCTTTGCAAGGCCCTGCTAATTCCAAGACGAACAGCTCCCACTTGACCTGCAATTTTAAGCTTGATCAAGCTTTAAGCTTTGCTGCGACACTACATAGGAAAATTAAGGTTTCATTTGGGAAGGCTTTCTTGCTGTTTCTTAAAGCAGCTTTATAGTATAAAAATTTTAATATTTTATTAAAAAACTGCTTTAAGAAACAGTAAGAAAGCCATCCCAAACAAAATCTAAGTTTGAGGAAAAAAAAAACAATTATTTGTTACACTTAATAAAGATTTTTACTTCCTACTTGATCATATTGCATAAAATTCGCTGACCCAAATTAAAAAGGACACTTCATATGTAGTGAAGCACAGATTTAGTTCAATATAAAAATGCTTATATTTTTTTAAAACTTAAAAATATAGTTGAGGGGAGAATAAAGTTATATTACTTTCGTCTATAGCATCAATGTTGTGCCAAATAAATGTTGTTATATATACAGTCGGGCAATATATTTATCAGCAAAACAAAAGAAGAGATTCTAGTTGATAAGGCTCACCTGAGACGCCTCCTCCTTTCACAGTACAAGTGACATCCCACAGGCCCAATGAATTTGTCACAGTAAATGGTCGAAGAAGATCAGCGCGATGATCAAGAATGGGAAAATATGCGTCAAACTGCTTATCATTCACTAAAAATTTGCCATCACCTGGTTGAACCCAAACACGAGCTACACTACATTTCCTTCGTCCAGTTCCATAAGCCCTTCCTTTCTCATCAACTTTTCTTACGCGTGCTTTTGTGATTTCTTCTTGTTTCTTACGCTCAACCTCAGCTCTTGAAGAAGTAGCATTCAACTTTGCTATGGCCTTGTCTTCTATTTCGCTAAGGGGAGGCAGACCCTTAATGCCTCTAACATCCCTTAAAAGAATTAAACTATCAATCATATCCTCTGTTATTCCAGATGCTGCAATCAAATCTCCGAATGCACGATTTGGACCTGGAGTGTGACAAAAAGCGACCGTAAATGCATATTGAAGAAAATACCTTCTTGGTTTATGCGGAGTTCCTCCAGGAGAAGGAAAGGAACAGGGAAACAATAAAGAAGCAAGAAAGTATTATTAACTTGTCTATCAAATGAGTACAAAGGTAGTCTATAAATAGACTAGAGTCTGTTCACCTATAATGCTAAGTACATCATATTTACAATAGTGCCATGTAACCGAAATATATAATATACTTTTATATTTTGTTCTCTAACACATATAATAACAAAGTACTGCATCAAATCCCTGTGCATCATTTGGAAGATTTAGCACACATAGAGAAGAATTTCGTGAAAACAACATTACAAACAAAGGCTTTGTTTGGGACCTTACTGTTTCTTAAAATTTTTATACTAGAATGCTGCTTTAAGAAGTGGTAAGAAAGTTGTCCCAAACGAAGCCAAAATTGAAATACCAATCCAATGTTCTCAGAAGCATTTTTGTGTGATCTCCTAAAACTCAGAGAAAGTGCTTTGTATGTGAAATTTACAAAACTTATCAAATGAACTACCAAAGCCTTGGTCAACAGCATGTTTACATGATTGAATGCCAAAAATCTTAAAGCTTTGATGAAACATACCAAGGCATGTCATGGATCAACTATTCCAGTGTCCAACGACTACAGCACAAAGTGACAATCATCAGCAGTGCTGTTAAGCAAAGTACTCGGTTGTTTCTATCACTTAATGCGGAAGGGGCAGTGGCATGGTCTTTGGAAATGTATCACAGCATTTCATTTAAAAGATCACAAGGAGCTTCTCTTATCTTATATTAAGTAATTTAAGTCACATAAAAGTTCCCTTTGGCTTCCCTCCGCATCAGGTATGTTCTCTATTAGTTCCTTCTACTCCTTTCTTATTGATGCCGTATTCATACAAAAAATTGATCTTTAATTTGCAAATCAATTGAACCTCTAAAATCTAAAATTTTAGTTCGGTTCCTCTTCAGGAGGATAATCCGTAGCTAGGTTTTGCTCCTACACAAAGGAATTGACACTTCTCTCTACGATGCTTGTACTCTTAATCGTGAGGATGATTTTCATATCTTCTTTGGTTGTCCCTCATCTCTAATATATGGAAGAGGCTCTATAATATTTTTGGCATTTCATCTCTTGTCAACCTGGAATTTGCTCTTCCTCTTGGTGAAAAGAATATATCAAGAAAGGAATCAGAGATCTGTAGGATGTTTTCTTCTATTCTACAATGAAAGAAATGCTAGATGCTTTTTCTAACAAAAGAACAAATGAGAGGGTTCTATGGATTAGCATACCCTATACTTTATTCCATATTCTTAAGAAAATGAAGAAAAAAAATTATGTTTATACAAAATTGTGGTTTGGTCTGTGTGCAGGACCAATTTTGGATCTTAAAAGCACATATATGCTTAGGATCACCTTATTTAATTTTCAAGTAACATTAAAAAGTCGTCAATAAAGCGGGCTGCAATCCACCCCCAACCAAGCTAACAAGAGGCACACGCTGTTATCTTGCTAGTCACTTAATTAAGTTATTTTAAAATCTTGATACGCCTAAAGAGATACTTTGTTTTTTCAAGGTATGATTTTACAAGCCGTACATTTCTTATTAAAAAAAAAAGTGAAATATGATGCAAAGTTTTAGGGATGTTGTTTTTAAAAGCAAACGCAATGATGCACATACTTAAAAGAAAGGTACTATGCAGAGTTTCAAGGACTCTTTAAAAAGGAAAGTAAATTGAACCAAATTTGGAAGTATACTGCAGATTTATTCAATAAATAAATTAAATTAGCTTTAAAAAAGATGCATACAAGTAGATCTAATTCTCAAACTAGAAGTTATGGGAGATATTGATGAAGTTTGGTTTATTAAAATTTTAGTGATACTAATATTTATCAAAATCAATTTGAATTCATGTCGGTAGATCTATTATGGAAGCAATATATTTGTTGAGAGGTTTGATGGAGACGTATAGAGAGAGTACATATGATATTTATTGATTTAGAAAAAGAATATGATAGAGTTTCAAGATAAGTGCTATGGAGAATTCTAGAAAAGAAAAGAGTAAAAAATGCCTATATTTAAATCATTAAGGATATATATATACATGAGCTATTGTGTTCGGATACAAGATGGTTTGAACAAGTATTTTCCTATTTTAGATGGATTACATCAACTTTAAGACCATATCTTTTTGCTTTAATCATGGATGTTCTTACTAAAGTCTAAACATTTGTTAAGAGGATGCTGGTGTATGCTCGTTGCTGATGATATTCTTCTTGTTGATATGACAAGAGGAGTTTATGAAAAACTTCATTTATGAAGGTCAACCTTAGAGTCTAAAGGTCTTCATTTGAGTAGATCTAAAAATGAATATATAGTGTAATTTTAATAAAGATAGATCTAGTAGTGGTCTTGTGACATTGAGTGATTAATTCATTCAAAAGAGTGCATGCTTTAGATATCTTGGGTCTATTGTTCAAAACGAAGGTGAAATAGATGGGGATAATATTAGTAGAATTTTAAGTTGGATGGTTGAAGTAGAGGAATGCATCAGGTCGCTTGTTCATAGAAAATAAGCCCTCAACCTTAAGGAGAAATTTTATAAGATGGTGGTGAGACCTGCAATGTTTTATGGCACATAATGTTGGCCATTAAAAGAAAAGCACAAAATTAAGTTAAGTGTTGCAGAGATGAGGATGCTCAAGTAGAAGAGTGAATTTACACTTAAAGACGCAATGTGAAACAAGTACATACGTGAAAAGGTTGGAGTAGCTCTAGTGGCTGATAAGATTAGAGAGATTCCTCTAAGATGGTTTGGTCACATAAAACATCAACCTTCTGATGACCTAGTTAGGAGAGTAGATGTATTAGATCTGATCTATATCAAGAAAGATAGAGATAGACCTAAAAAGACTTAGAAAATATTAAAAATGATATATTTTTTAGATTTAAATGAGAATTTGACTCTTAATAGGACAAAATGGAGAAAAATAATTCATGTAGCAGACCCCACATAGGGGGTTAAAAGCTTGTTGCTGTTATTGTTGTTGCTAAAATATTAGAAGGATGACAAATAATAGAAGTATTTATCATTAATATTAAATGCAAAGGAATATGTCTTTTTGCCAACTTCAAGAACAAAGAAGTTTGAAATCATTATAATAATAGGGAATCAAATTTGTAAATCACACAAAGTAGTTATGGAAGAGGGTATTTGAACATAGGTAGTGTGGAACTTCTAATTCTCTAGTAATCTCTTTGTGTGACTTGCGATTAGTTACTATAGCTAGATATCGTGTTTTGAAAACTTCCTTATGACTCTTTCATTGTAAAATGTCCTTCGGGTTGAGGCTTTTTGTAATGGTTATCGCTATGGAATTTTAGTGACACTTACCCTAAATCCTATTTTGCCAAAGTAGAAATAAACTAGAATTCTCGTTTACATGTTTTAGACATCACATTTATTATCAGAAACCCCCACTCTTAATTACAAATAAAAAAAGTTCAAAGGAAGCTATCTTCTTGTATGCCATGAGACCCAATTCTTCTATTTGGTGATCCTTTATTTATTTATTTTTTTGCTCTTATTCTCTAATTTCTAGTAATTTATTTGATTAAGTGATTGAGTTTGCTTGAATTTTATACAATTTATTTATTGGGGCATCATTTTCAATTGAATATGTGATTCTTATCAGATCTTAAATTTCTATGCAATATTTATAATAAATAACTATTAAATTACCAGTAGGGTAAATTTTGTAGTTCTAATTTCATTAAAAGCAACAAAAAATTAGCTAAATTAAGGATCTATGTTTGCAAATTTGAACATATTTGAATGATTTTGTGTATCGCATTCTACATCTGGATTATGAAACTTCTTGACCATAGGATGTCATCTATCATGTTTGGTATTAAACATAAGTTTGCATCAACATATTACCTAAAGGGATATAATAATTGAGTCAATCAATAATATAATGACATGATACAACTTAAATGAAATCAAGTATGTCATGTTTCAAAGGAATTACACCATGATTATCATGAAAATCATGATTATATTTCATATTTGATGCAAAGTACTATCTTAGCAAATATTCAAATGGGATATGTAACTTTAAAGCTTTTTTTAATATTAAAATAGGTTTGATTACAAAATATTTGAAATTTTTAAACAATATTGACAAGAGTATAGGACATGCTCAATATTTTTGGCAAAGTGATGCAGCCAAATCTATTGAACTAATATGAAACATAAACTTGAAAAAAACAATATTTGACATTTCATGAATACAAAAGTTTAATGCATTACCAGTTTAAGAATTCTAACCAAGTTTAGTTTAAAGATCTTGCATAATTGTATTTTTGATGACTACCTCAATCATGTTATTATTATTTATTTTATTAAAGATTTTAGACCAAAAGTTAATTATTAACTAATCTAATATACTCCAGAAGACATTTAATGGAATCTGAGACAAAACTTTATAGGTTGATGAGACATATTACAATTATTCTATTATTACTATTGCACCTGAAAAAAATCATCAACACCTCCTTAAAATCCCATCACACACACATCAACACAAGAATTATATATGATTGAATTTGATTCTACTAAAGAAACCATAGTTCATTAAAATTATTTTGATAAAGAATTACATGATGAAGAAGATTCATATTTATAAAATGAAGATGCCTCTAATGTTGAATGTGAACCTACATTAGAACATGGTCATGAACTTAAGCCTGCAGATAAATACATTCGGAATTCGAATGTGAAATTGAAATTAAGCATGAGATCATAACTAAAACTATACTTGTAATAAAACTGAATCTATTTATGAATGTGAAGGTCGGGGAATCAATTGCTTAAGCATCTACCAAATTTATTGCTAAGTCCATAAATCAAATTGATATAGACTTTATTTTTTATTCTTGACAGTTGACATTAATATACTTCAAACGAGCATTCTTTTTTTTGCAACTTTCTATACGTAACATTGGAATGCATATGATAGCTTACTTAACCCAATTTAATAAAAAGGGATCATTGAAATGCATGATGATCAACATTTCGGCCAACATTTATAGCAGATCACCGTCTTGTCATCAAAGAGAATTTTAGGCAGAAGGCCAGATGTGGCACTATGAAGCTTAATTAAGTGTTCTATTACCATTTAGAGTAGCAAGCAGCTCCTGCTCTCTTTGATGCAACTTCTCCTGCTCTTCATTCCTCTCCTTCTCGAACTCATCAATCCCTTCCCCCTCAAGCCCTTCTATCGCCCCCACATCCTCCCCAATACCGAAAACATCACCCTTTTCATCATCATCACCCATGGTCCATTGCTTGTAGCCCTCGGCAGTCTCCCACAGAACATCTCCGCCTCCATCTTTCGACGCGATCCCCCGATCAACGCCCTCAAATACATCACTCTCCAAATCACCGGAAGAGTTTTCATCCCAAGGACTTCCTCGTTTGATAACGGTTCCGCCGGTCTTGGTCTCTACCTCGCCCGATCCGAACGCATCCTCGGCGCCCTCCCCGATTCCAGAGAGGCCCCCTTCCTCCAGCTCAAAGATGGAATCCGGCTCCTCAGATTCTGCCGTAAGCTTCCAGGTGTCGTCGCCATTACCGCCGCCCGCTCCTCGATTACTCGAGAAAGACCTGCGATGATCAAAAAGGGTCCAAATATTTGAAGCGCGAGCCTGAGGAGGAGAGTGAGGTAGAGAAGCGGACGAGAAGTGGCAGATAGGACGAGTTGAAGAGAATGGCTGGTTTGCGAAAGCTAAGGTTTTTGATAGGAAGCGGAGGCGGAGTGGACGACAGAGGCGAGCGAGCATTTTGCGGAGACAGACCGCTAAGAAGGCAGTAGGGTTTTAGCTCGTGGCGTTAAATCAATCGGTTTAACGGGCTGGATTAAGGTCGGACCAGACCCAACAAGAAGAAAATATATATATATATTTATGAATTTTAAGAAAGATAAAATTAAAGAAATTTAAATTATTAAAAATAAAAATTAGATTTGGTTTATCCATTATGATCATAAGAAATATAAGAACAAGACTTTAACGTTGCAGCAGTGCTATTTTTTTTTTTTTTGCTCCTTTGCGCTTACAAGCATAACATTACGACACTTATGTATAGAATTTTCATATTTTTAAATTAATTTATTTTATAAAATTTTGGGTTATTACATTCAGTCCATCTTAAGAAAAATATTATCCTCAACATTTTCACTAATACTTCAGAAAAATCAAAGCAAAACAAAAAAAAAAACCATTTCGTTAAAATTAAATCAAGAGAATAATCAAATCAAAAATCAAATCGGTACCATCATTAGCAAATTAAATAAATTACTGATCATTGATTCATCAATCGTCTAAATCACATCATTCAAAAAATCATAAATTCAATAAGACAACTCAGTCACACATTTATGCGTGTTATTCAATTATATGTCATTCCATATGCTATGAAATGGTATTATTATGCACAAAGTATCAATCAAGTAAAATATAATATTTTCCTTTGGTTAGAAAATTCAACCAATATATCTCTCAAAGAAATCCCTATTCTCTTATTGTATTAGATTGTAGACTTGTGATCATATTAGTGTTGCATGACGAAATGAGTAGGCTCTCTCTAACTCTCGCACACCTCTCTCATCTATCATGATTCTAGAAGCTTTAGTCATATTCATCGATCCTTCACTATACATCCTGGAACCGGCCATCCTTTGACTAGAGGCCTGTATAGATTGTTATGTTCTCAATACAAATCATTCTCCTTGCGTAACGCCCCAAGTTCTAAATTGAAATGATTGTCTAATTTACCTTTTATCGATAAATTATCAATATAAATTAATATATTTAACAAAAGTAATAAAATATCATACTCATTAAAATATTTCACTATATTCATTTACCAAAATATATTTACAATAGCTAGGAGTTCACTAACAATCAATGATTTATCAATATCTCCGGTCAACAAAAGAATAAAATAAAAGAGAAAACTTGAATATCTTAATCTGCCTCACTCTAAAGTGTTCTGGATCTTTTATTGACTTGAAATCAATAAGATCATATAATGAACTTATAAGCTCAACTGAAACCCAAACTCACTAAAACATTCAATACAAGATTTACAATATATATACTCATCTCAATTAATAGAATCAATAATATTCAATAACATCAATGATTAGTCATCAATGATATATTCAACATGATCAATAACAAAAAGTTGAAATCATTATGCTTAAATTCATAAATCAACAATGGATGCGAGAATGTAAATATATAAATAATCAATAAATCAGGATTGTAGATCATGAACAGACAAATATCAATATCATCGGTCTTCTCCATCTTATTAATTATAAATAATTTAGTATATGATATTAATATATGTAAACATTCATATTCTATATTTGCGTATACATTACTTATCTATCTATCAATGTTATTATGTATGTATACATTAATATATGATTCAATAAGCATAGCATCCCGCTTTAATATGGTGTTTTCATTCTTTCATATGTATTCATCAATATCATTATCATTATATCATTATATGCGACTTTCAATAAATTATTAAGAGTTGTCACACTCTACCTGTCGGTGTGATAAGTCATCAATTATAGGTTAAATCACAAATCATCTTTAAAAAAAACATGTCGGTCTACCCTCATATACATGATATTATATTTTAACAACTAACACATATTAATTATAGTATTGACATCCAACCTTCTTTGTTTACATTCAAATGTCACATTTATCATATATCGATTATATCAATGTCTAAATGCAATATAAAATGCTTAAATCTATAAAATAAAAAATACGTATATTAATTTTATAAATTTAAAAATCATAATTTTTATTTTAACTGGTGAAATTTAATAAAATAACAGTCAAAATGTTCATAAAGTCCATATTTATCATATACAAAAAAATTATACATTAGAAGTGCGATAAATCAGAATAAAAGATAATTTAGGAGAGATTAAATTTGTTAAACTCAAAATAATTAAAAATCATATTGAAATTTTGATTGTAGGTTGTATGTTGGATGATTGATTGAACATGGAATTGATTATATGTTTTGATTGGTTAAGTAATGGATGATTGATAGTTGAATGAGTGTCAACAAACAGATTGACGATCATGAGTTTGGACAGGGCCTGATGACCTCATACAAAAAATGAGGTCAACAGTTATGTTATGAATGTTATATCATGTTTGTGTTCAACATATTTTATGTGCCTTTTATCATTCTTATGAAAGCACATGTTTGTAGTATTTGTTTATGTGTTTATTTACATATTACAAATTCTATTCATGCTTAAATTATTATTATCCTTCAATTATTTTTATATTCTAATTATTTAATTAACCCTTATACTAACTATAATAAAAATGATATAAAATTGGGATAATAATAAAACTCTATATCATAATTTGAATGAATTTTGTTTATATTTCATAAGTTGAAAAAATTAATACTTAACTTATTCAATCATTTAAGTTATTATCCTAATTTAAATTTATAAGTTATGCCTTTATAAAAGTAACTTTCAAAATGAAAAGATAAATAATTAATATTAAAAATAAGATATAAATAGATTAAAATTTAAAATCATAGCTAACTTGAAAATAGATTTAGTAATCTTATCAAGTCCTTATATTAAAATTATTAAGATTGAATGAAGGTTTAAAGCATAAGTTGATATTCAAAATCATTAATTATGTACTTCACAAAAAAATAATAAAGAACTATAAAATAGTTCTCGAAAGAAAAGAAAATAAAAAAGATGAGTACATCTAAAAATTGATATTAGTAAAAGCTTAATATTATAAATACATTTTTATACATAAACTAAAAAGGATAAGATGGGAAAGCTAATAGAAGATATGGTAAACTAATGAAAGTACAATTTTAACTACAATCATATATAATCATTAAACTCAATTATTCACTTCAATAATTAAAATTAATTATTAAATCTATAACTTTTAACTTTAAATTAGGTTGTAACTTGAATAATTGATTAGTTTAACTATTACTATTTTTTAAACTAGAAGTGCATCATTATTCATTTTTACTAACTCTAGATAATGGTGTATTATCATATATTTAAAATTTTATGTTGTCATTTTTTTTTTTATTTTGGTTAATCACTTTATTAGAATTACAAAAAAAAATTTATTTGCTTCAGGACAAGCAAGGGTTTAAGCTAGGAAGAATTTGATGAGTATGAATAATGTTACATTTTATATATTAAATTTTCAATGAAATCATTTTATTTTAGTTCTATTTATGTAGAAAAATATATGAAATATGCAAAATTTTCAAGTATGATACAGCGTCATGGCGTCAGACACTACACCACCGGTGCTGTCATTGACATCGTCGGAGCACCCAATATAGACATGGCAGGGTCTAGTCTCTGTTTAACAGCACTGCAACGTCAGAGGAGTCAGCATTGCAAAGCCCAAGCTCTATTTGCACAGCACTGCAATGCCAATTTCCAACACCACCAAGTCAAGGGGAGTGCCACATTGATTTCTATTTGAGTTAAAAAGTTAAATTCTTTTTAAAAAATTTTGGAAGAATTTAATTTTTATAATTTTAGTTTTAAAATCTAACATGTCATTATGGATGATATATCACATCGGGAGGTGAATATGTCATTCCCTAATGGGTTTAGTAACAAAGCTAAAAGCTTATCATGATTATCATAGTCAAATTCAAGGAAAACCCATGTATGACCCCAGAGGGTCAAAATGATGTTTGCTCGAGTATTTGAATATAATAATTTGGGTAATTGACCATTAATTTTGTAATTGATGTCATGATAATATAACGATATATTTTCCCGAGGAAAGAAGATATCATTTATTATCAATCATTTGAATATGATGACAATTATCATTGACTTTAATTTTTCCAAAGATAACTAATTGAATTTTGAAAACTTGATTTTAAAAGTTAATCCAAGTTTTAAATCTAATACGAGCGCAAGCTCTTGTAGTTAATTATATCGTATGAAATCAAAGTTTTTTTAAGAATTTCTCAAGGATTGATATCAAAGAATTAAAGATGAAATTTTAATTGGGAATATATCAAAATTAAACACTTATTTCTAGAGGTCAAAGGAGGAGAGGTTGATGGTATTTTGGAATTCTGAAACAATTCCAAAATTCTCTAGTATATCCTATATGTTGGGCTTTAAATTTTGATTTGAAAAGAAATTTTGGTTTAAGTTGATGATTTATTAGAAAGTTGAGATTATATTATTAGATATTAGAGACTTATGATTTTGAGTCTGGCCCGAATCCTAAGTCTAACTTGAGCACTAAATGACAGTAATCCGAACATAGCAAATGTAGTGCAAAACTTGAACTTACTCTAGCTTGGAATGGAGAGCCAGCTAACCACCTAAGCGCTTAAAATCAATGAGTCTAATATCTTATGCAAGAGTAGTAGGAATATTGTTTAATTAAGTTTGAGAAATTATGACCGACATCTAGAGCAAATCCTTAGTTTTAGACTCATTTAATTAATTTATAATACAATGCAAGCAAATTGACTCGATAAATCTATAAAGTTGGTATGAAGTAGTTTTTTAAAAAAGCTTAGAAATAGGTTTTATCCTAGGGATTGCACAACTTTCCCTTGAGAGGATTGCACACTAATAGGTCAGGTGGCCTGCCAAAATTCACAAGTGGGGAGGTGACTAACAAGAAAGAGAAAATTTAAGATACATGTATGAAAAACACTCGACGTTCCCGAGCTTACTTTTTAAAATGTTAGAGTTTATATGTTAGCTTATAAATTTTTATTTCAATTAGAGTAAAAAAAGTTTATTCGTACTCTCACGAG